TCCTGGAGGACGTCTTGGAGGCCTCTTGGGGGCCTCTAAGTCAGTCTTAGGCCATCTTGGAGCCATCTTGGGTCGTCTTGGAGGCTTCTTGGACGAACTTGAAGGCATCTTGGATTCTCTCGGGCCGTCTTGGAAGCCGTCTCGGACCATCTTTGGAAACTTGGATGCCATTTTGGAGGCCATCTTGGGCCAACGTGACCATCTTAGAGGCCATCTTGAGCCGTCTTGGAGAATTTGTTGTGGATGTTTGGGTGGTTTATGCTGCCTTGTGCGGCCTTTCGGGTGGCCGGCGGGACGGGCCGAAGCCCCAGGGGGAGTTCTTTCTCTTGGAAAACACCAAAACCAAAAGTGAAAGGGTTCAGCACGCCGGGCACCCCTGTGATGAATCAACAGGGGGCGGCGGATGGCCTTCGGCCCATCCCGCCACCGTGCCTGGGTTGTGGGTATGAAGCCGATTGGAATTTATTTGATGTTCGTTGGGATCTCGTGGATGGCTTCTCGGGGTCCTCTTGGGGCCGCTTTTGGGGCCCCTGTGTATATCGGAGGTTGGGGGGGTGAGATCGCAGTGAAACGGAGACCCCCCACCGGGAAATCGGTTTCGTGTTCGTGTCGTGCGTGCGGGCGAGACGAAGCTGCGCGTGATCCTCCTGTAGCTAGGCCGAAGTAGGAGCGAAAGTCCGTTTCCCGTCCGCTGGTGGCCGGGAGGTGTCCCACTTGGGCCGGGCGATGTCCAGGGTGTCTCGGGTGTCAGTATGAGCGAAAGTCCGTTTCGCGTGCGCCGGTGGCCGGGAGGTGTCCCAGTTGGGCCGGGCGTTATCCCTAGTGTTTTGGGTGTCCCGGTCGTCCCGGCGCTAACGCATGTCGATAATTCCATAATTCATGTTTTTCGGCGCCTGCGGCGGGCTTTCTTATCCAATTCAGTTTATCTTATCCAATCCATCTTGTTCAATCCAGTCCATCTTACCTTATCCAACCCATCTTGTCCCATCTTATCTTATCCCACCCAATCCAATCCACCCAACCCAATCCATCAATTCCTTTGTTTCTGCGCCTGCGTCGGGCCATCCAATCCATCTTCTGTTATCCAATCCATTTCTTCCAATCCAACCCATCTTATCTTGTCCAATCCATCTTTTCCCATCCAATCCAGTCCACCCAACCCAATCCATCAATTCATTTTCCACTCCATCCCCCCCAAACCTCCTTATCGCCCGCAGAGCGGTCGTATAGGTATATGTGCGTGGGTGCGTGTGTGTGTGTGGGTGTGTGTGTGTGTGTTTGCGTGTGTGTGTGTATGTGTGTGCGCGTGGTCGCTTGTGTGTGTGTGTGTTTGTGCGTGTGCGTGTGTGTGTGTGTGTGTGCGTGGGTGTGCGCGTGAATGTGTGTGTGTGTGTGTGGGTGTGCGTGTGTGTGCATGTGTTTGTATGTGTGTGTGTGTGTGTGTGAGTGCCTGTGTGTGTGCGTGTGTTTGTATGTCGGAGGTTGGGGGTGAGATCGCAGTGGAACGGAGACCCCCAACCGGGAAACAGTTTCGTTTCGTTCGTGTCGTGCGTGCGGGCGAGGCGAATATGCGCGGGCGCGCGAGAGGAATGCATCCGCCGTTGCTAGAGCGAAGTCAAGACACATGTTGTTGCTCCGTCCGTCCGGCGGTGGCCCGCGGTGTCCCGTGGTGTCCCGTGGTGTCTCGTGGTGTCCCGTTGAGTGAGATCGATAATGAGATCGATAGTGAGATCGATAGTGAGATCGGTAGTAAGATCGATAGTGAGATCGATATTGAGATCGATGTGGTGCCCCGAGGTGTCCCGTTGAGTGAGAGCGATAGTGAGATCGATAGTGAGATCGACAGGTGTCCCTTGGTGTCCCGTGGTGTCCCGTGGTGTCCCGTTGAGTGAGATCGATAGTGAGACCCATAGTCAGATCGATACTGATATCGATACTGAGATCGATGTGGTGCCCCGAGGTGTCCCGTGGTGTCACAAAAAGTGAGATCGATAGTGAGATCGACAGGTGTCCCGTGGTGTCTCGTGGTGTCCCGTGGTGTCCCGTGGTGTCCCGTTGAGTGAAATCGATAGTGAGACCGATAGTCAGATCGATACTGAGATCGATGTGGTGCCCCGAGGTGTCCCGTGGTGTCACAAACAGTGAGATCGATAGTGAGATCGACAGGTGTCCCGTCGTGTCCCGTGGTGTCCCGTTGAGTGAGATCGGTAGTGAGATCGATATTGAGATCGATACTGAGGTTGGTGTGGTGCTCCGAGGTGTCCCGTGGTGTCCCAAAAAGTGCGATCGATAGGGAGATCGATAGGGAGATCGACAGGTATCCCGTGGTGTCCCGTGGTGTCCCGTGGTGTCCTGTTGAGTGAGATCGATGGTAAGATCGATATTTGGATTGATACTGAGATCGATGTGGTGTCCCCGTGGTGTCCTATGGTGTCCCGTTGAGTGAGATCGATGGTGGTGATGATGATGATGATGGTGATGGTGGTGTTGATGGCGATGATGATAGTGATGAAGATGATGATGATGGTGATGATGATGGTGATGATGATGATGATGATGATGATGTTGGTTATGATGATGAGGATGCTGATGATGCTGCTGATGATGATGATGATGATGGTGGCGATGATGATGGTCGAGGTGGCTGTTTCCCTACCTAGGCTCTGCCTAGAAGTATTCTTACTCTCTTGGCTTAAAGGGCCGAGCAGTGGGAAACGGCCTGGGCGGTTCCCCCAGTATCCGCCCCGTGGTTCCCAGTTACGCCCCCTTACCTTAGCTTTGCTTATCTCATCTTAGCTTAGCCTAGCTTAACTTAGCTTAGCCTAGTCTAGCTTAGCTTGGCCTAGCTTAGCTTTGCCTTGTTTAGCGTAGCTTAGCTTAGCTTAGCCCAGCTCAGCTTAGCTTAGCGCAGCGCAGCATTATCATAGCATAGCATAGCATAACATTGCATACCATATCGCAGCATAGCATGTCATAGCGCAGCATAGCACAGCATAGCATAACATAGCATACCATAGCATAGCACAGCACAGCGCAGCACAGCATATCATAGCTTAGCTTAGCTTAGCTTAGCTTAGTATAGCACAGCGCAGCATAGCATAGCATAGCATAGCATAGCGCAGCATAGCATAGCATAGCGCAGCATAGCACAGCAGCATAGCATAGCATAGCGCAGCAGCATAGCATAGCATAGCGCAGCATAACATATCATAGCGCAGCCTAGCATAGCATAGTATAGCGCAGCATAGCATAGCATAGCGCAGCATATCATAGCATAGCATAGCATAGCGCAGCGTAGCATAGCATAGCATAGCCTACCATAACACAGCGCAAACGAGCGTACCCTAGCATAGCATAGCATAGCATAGCATAGCATAGCATAGTGCAGCATAGCGCAGGATAGCAAATCATAGCATAGCGTAGCGCAGCATAGCATAGCATAGCATAGCATATCAGCAACGCAAAGGCAACGCAACAGCAGCAACAGCAACGCAAAGCACAAGCAACGCAAAACCGGATCTGCAGTGCTGAACAGCCTGCATCTCTTGCAGGAGCCGCGAGCAGTGCTGAACTGCCTGCAGCTCTTGCAAGCAGTGCTGAACAGCCTGCAGATCTTGCAGGAGCCGCGAGCAGTGTCTGTGCGCAGGCAAAGCAACAACAACATCAAGCAACAACATAATCACAGCAAAGGCAACAGCAAAAGCAACAGCGAAAGCAACAGCAAAAGCAAAAGCAAAGGCAAGGCAATGTAAAGCAAAAGCAACACCAATGCGAAAGTGTAGATGTAGATGGAGATGTAGGTGTAGGTGTAGATGTGGATGTAGGTGTAGATGTAGATGTAGATGTAGATGTAGATGTAGCTGTATATGTAGGTGTAGATGTATATGTAGATTTGAGTCTCGCTGTTGATGTAGATGTAGATGTAGATGTAGGTGTAGATGTTAATGTAGCTGTCGGTGTAGATGTAGATATGCTCCAACTCCTAGGTAGGGTCGCACTGGGATAATAATTTGCCGCCGAGGTGGCTTTTCTTTCTCTTCGAGGTGACTTCTATTTGCCGTCGAGGCGGCTTTTATTCGTCCCCGAGATGGCTTTCCTTGTCTTTCGAGACGGCTTAAATGTGTGTGTGTGTGTGCGTGTGTGTGTGTGCGTGTAAGTGTAAGTGTAAGTGTAAGTGTAAGTGTTTGTGTGTGTGTGTGTGTTCGGTCGTGTGTGTGTGCGTCTGGGGGAAAGTGTGCGTGGGTGTGCGCGTGTGTGTGTGTGTGTGGGTGTGTGCGTGTGTGTAGGTTATGTTGCGTGTTTGTGTGTAGGGGCGCGTGTGTGTGCGTGTGTGTGTGTGCGTTCTAATGCGTGTGAGTGTGTGTGTGTGTGTGTGTGTGCGTGTGTATGTGTGTGCGTGTGTGTGTGTGTGCGTGTGTATGAGTATGCGTGGGTGTGCGCGTGGGTATGTGCGTGGGTGTGTGCGTGTGTTTAAGGGTGTGTGTGTGTGAGTGTGTGTGAGTGTGTGTGTGCGCGTGTGCGTGCGTGCGTGCCAGTGTTTGTGTGTGTGTGTGTGTCCGTGCGTGTGTTTGTGTATGTGTGTATGTGTGTGTGCGTGTGTGTATGTGTGCGTGTGTGCGTGTGTGTGTGTATGTGTGTGTTTGTGTGTGTGTGTTTTTGTGTGTGCGTGTGCGTGTGTGTGTGCGTGCGTGTGTGCGTGCGTGCGTGTGTGTGTGTGTGTGTGCGTGTGTGTGTGCGTGTGCGTGTGTGTGTGTGCGTTCTGCGTGTGTGTGTGTGTGTGTGTGCGTTTGTGTTTGTGTGCGCTCGTTGCGCAGTATCCCCCCAGGGGCGCCGAAGGCCGCCCGCAGGGCCTCCGCGCGCCCGCTTTTTTAGAAGCGCGTAGGGAGCCCTGCGGCACGGAATGGGGGGGGGGGAGGGGGGCGGAGGGCGGGGAAAGGGGGGGGGGCGAGGGGAGGCACGCGCCCGAGCGCGACGCCGAAGTTCACGAGCCCCCCCCGCAGGGCCCTGGTGCAGGTCGCCGGCCGGGGGGACCCGCAGGCCGCCTCCGGCGTGGGCGGGTGCTCGCTTCGGGGCGCAGGCCTCGGGAGGTTCGAGGTTCAAGGTCTTCGGAGGGTTTCGCGGGGTTCTCGGCTGCTTTCCTGCCTCGGGGCGCGCTCTCTATCGGCTGTGCCTCGTCGTGGTGTGTTGGAAAGGTTTTGGTGGTTCTCGGCTGCTGTCCTGCCTCGGGGCGCTCTCTATCAGCCGTGCCTCGGCGAGGGCGTCCTGGAGGTGCCTGGATCGTCCCGAACGGCCGCCAGAGTCGGAGCGAGGGCCCGAAAACCACCCAGAGATGGGCTCTGGGGGGATGCATCGACCCCCCGTCTCCCATTGATCGCCGATTGGGGCCCGCTAGTCCCACCCCGCCCAGGAACGTGGGGATTGGCTCTCGGGGGCCTATCGCCGATGCATCGGCGATGTATCGCCGATTCCAGGTCGATGTCCCCCCCCTCCTGTGCCAGTTCGCCCGTATCGTTTTGCTCCTCAGCTGTGGGCGGGTGCTCCCTTCAGATGAGGGGCGGGTCGAGGCGACCCAGACCTCCGGCGTATCGACAAAATCGGGGCGGAGGTGTTTCAGCGGTGTCGGTCTCTCGGGGCCCCTGCCGGGCCTCGGCGCCGTCCAGAAACGACTCGAGATGAAAACCGGCCCCGGGGAAATGGTTGAGAGGTCGGGAGCCCGTGTCTCGAACAAAAATCGAGACGCTGGATGTCTGGGAACGGTACAGTGGAAACCCATGCCAAGAAACACCCTGCTTGCCTCCAGGGTGCCCAAGGTTGTTCGGGCTTCGGTGTTTTAGCTATGGAAAGCGTGACGTTCCCACACCAAAAAATAAATGGACGTCCTGGGGTCGCAGGGTTGGGTTTCTTCTGGAAGGTTTTGTGGTCGAGCTCCTACTGTAGTTGGCCTTCGGGGGGCGCTTTCGTCGCCACGGCTGGACGCAGCTCGGAAAACGGGAGACTACTGTTTCAGGGCGCCCCGATGATGCGGGCTACCGGGCCCGCTCGCAACCCCTTCCCTCCCCCCGATCACCCGATCTTGTCGCCTGTTCAGATGAGAAGGGGCGGCTAAGCAGTATTGGTGCGCGCGGGCACTTCTGGGCCTGACCCAAGGGAGAAGGTCCGGTTATTGGCCAGCACCTCCCCCACCCGCCCCTGCGGATTACCCGCGCTATCGCAGAAAAAGGTAAACAAAAAAAGCTCCTGGTGCGTCTGGACCACTGGAGGGGTCCGGGGCAAAATCTGAGCTGCCGTTGTCTCAGCTCGCCTGGCTCCGATCTATCCCTCCCTCCTTTTCAGCTGTAACGCTTGTCGTTCTAGTGTTGGTGGGCACGTCCTCTTCAGTTGCCCAGAGAGATCCGACGTTGCGAACATTGTGCAACGTCGCAGAAAGTCCTCGCTGGAGCCCCAGACCCCATCTTCCCTTTGCGCGCCATTTTTGGAGCGAGATCAACGAGTCATGGTCCTGGGGCCCGAAACCGGGCGAACATTCCCGTTGTGAGCGAAGAGCAATGCCAGAATCTCGGGGCACGAGCGAGTCTTTCTGGTTCTGGCTCCCATCCGTCTCCGGCTTCCACTTCTCCAGCTGTGGCCTCCGCCGCTCAAGCTCTTTGAAGTCAACCCGCTGAGAAAGCATGCGCCCTTTTTCCAAGGTTACTCGATGATCCTCAGGGCGTTTGTTGGCCCAACGTGTCTTTATCCCGTTTAGTCCAACTGGTAGAGCATCACATCGTTTGCGTCGAATCGAAGGGCCTCGATGGACAAACACACGTTGGCGCTAACACACTTTCTGAGGATCATCGAGTTTCCCTTGCATCCTTCCCCTTCTGCCCATCCCCGCTGGCCGCGCCCCGCCCGCAGAGTGTCGAGATGGCCCTCCAGGGCCCTTTGCACACTTACCGCGCATCCCTACCATGCGGCCCGCCCGCGCTGCCCCTGGTGGGCGGGTCCGTCGGACCGCTGGTGCGTGCTCTACTCCTCTCCTCTCCGCTCCCCGTCCTTCCCCTGGTCGAGGATCGAGGATGTCGAGGATCGAGGATGTCGAGGATACCGAGTACGTCGAGTATGTCCAGGATCGAGGATACCAGAGAGCCACGCCCTCGGAGGAGGAGAAAGCACCGATGCCGCTACCCTTCGCCCGTTTGCCCCTCTTTGAGCCTGCTGGGAGGCCCTCGTCGCTACCGCTGGATTCGCCTCGCAGTCCTGGTCAGAACGCACCCTGGGAGAGGTCTGGGCAGTACAGCCGGCCCGGATAAGTAATTAGGTCGACCCTGCCAAATCAAGGGTACCCTTGTGTCCTGTGCCTCGCGACCCATGCCTCCTACATTCCTGTGGCAACGTGGCCCTCGGAAGAGTCTTGTGTCCTCTCGCGTGTCCTCTCCAAGCAAGTCCGACTGTAGCGGGGTATCGGTACCTTTTTCTTCTCCCTGCACTAGCTTTCTTGGGTCGGTGTTGGGCCCGACCCCCCTGGCGGCGCCTGCGGCGCCGCTCGTGGCTCGCTTCGCGCGACAGGGAGGGGTCCATCGCGGATCCAAGAAAAGCCGCGCGCACCTCCGACACAAATGCGTATTTCTCTCCTGGGACGTGCTGCGGGTTCTCTCGTCAGGCCCCCCCCCCAATGGGGTTTGATCCTCCCTATCCTCCTCCCGACGAAGGCTTCCCAGCAGCTGCCTCCCAGCCCCCTTTTTCCAGTGCTTCCCGGAGGCGCGCGGAGGCCGCGGGGCGCTCCCCTGGGAGCCTTGGGAGGCCTCTGCAGTCCTCTGGAGGCCTCTCCTGGGTCGGGGGGCAGCCAGCCGAGGAGCGGGGGAGGTCAGTATCGTTTCACCGACCCCCATCCTCATCCCCTTCGAGACCCCCCTCAAGTTACCACTCCAGAAGGGGATGCACCCCTCGAAACTCGAAGGGAACGGCCTATATCCCCATCCAGGGGGGATAAATCGGCCAGTGAGGCCCAGGCCATGCCGCTGGGGATGGGGATCGGTTAAACGATGCTCAGGACGGGGCACGGATCTTCGGGGGCCCGGGGAGCACCAAAGATCCATCAGGACTCGCAGAGATCCCCACCCCTCGGGGGAAGCCGTCGGGGCTTCTGGGGCCGCACGTGGGAAGACACATCGTCAGATGCCTGGTGATCACGTCGTTTAGGCTTCGTGGGAGCCCCTCGTGGACACGGCTGAGATCAGTCGGAAAGTCTGATTCAAGAGTGTGTTTCGGTCGTGGGTTCGATAGAAGAGTTACAGATCGGTTGATGTAGATAACTTGCATGATGACGGTGATGATGATGACACGATGATGATGGTGATGGTGATGATGATGTTGATGTTGATGATGATGACGATGCTGATGACGATGATGATGACGATGACGGTGCGGATGAGGATGAGGATGGCGATGACGATGATGATTATGATTATGATGATGATAATGTTGATGTTGCTGATGATGCTGATGATGATGATGCTGATGACGATGATGGTGGTGGTGGTGACGATGGTGATGCTGATGCTGATGATGGTGATGATGCTGATGATGCTGATGATGGTGATGGTGATGGTGATGATGATGCTGAGATGATGATGAGATCATGATGATGCTGCTGATGCTATTGCTGCTGATGATGATGACGATTGCGCTGATGTGGATGTTGAAGTTGATGGTGATAACGCTGATGATGATGAGTATCATGTTGATGGTGATGATGGCTATGAGCCATGGTGATGGTGATGTATGTATTAATGCTAATGATCACGATGCTGATGATCAGGAGGAGGACATGATGAGCATGTTGATGATACTGCTGTTGATGGTGGTGATGCTGAACATCATCGTCAACACCATCATGTTGGTGGTGGTGCTGGTGATGGTGATACTGATGATGACTATGGTGATGGTGGCGGCGATGGCGATAGTGATGGTGATGTCGTTGTGGTGATTGCGATGATGGCGATGATGATGAAGATGATGATGAGGAGGAGGAGTAGGTGCAAGAGGAGGAGGAGGAGGAGAAGGAGGAGGAGGAGGAGGGACGGAACGAAAGGAACAAGGAGGACGAGGAAGGAGAAGGGAGGAGGACGAGGAAGGGGGAAGAAGGAGGATAAGGAAGGGGGAAGAAGGAGGAGCAGGGCGAAGGAGGAGGAAGGAGGAGGGAAGGAGGAGGAGGGGGGAGGAGGAATGAGGAGGAAGGAAGTGGAGGGGGAGGTGGAATTTCTTCGACGCCTTTCCTGCACTGCCAGCCAGGCGGCTCAGGAGGAGGAGGGAAGGGAGGAGGGAGGAGGAAGTGTTGGGGGAGGGGACTGGCATGAAGTAGCGGACGAGGGAAGAACGGAGGAAGTGGGGTCAGGAGGAGTTAGGAAAGAAGGACGCGAGGCAAGGGAGAGAGGATCAAGGACAAAGCGGGAGGATCATACCAAGGGAGGGAGGAGGAAGAGGAGGAGGAGGAGGGGGAGCCATCCGAGGCGCCGCAGCATTCCTATCCGACGCGCGCTGCTGCAGCACCAGGGCCTCATTTTTATATGTTCATCGAACTTCTATCCTTGGAACTGTTTTGCAAGAGCGCCACAATCCGAGGATTCAAGTTGCGCGCAACGACAGAAAAGGAGGAGGAGGAGGAGGAGGAGGAGGAGGAGGAAGAGGGAGGAGGAGGAGGAGGAGGAGGAGGAGGAGGAGGAGGAGGAGGCAGGAGTAAGCAGGAGGAAACAGGAGGAAGGAGATCTGGGGCCTCTCGCTACCGGACCCTCCGCGGGCTCGCCAGGCGGTCGCGGCCGCCGCCTCGCGCCTGGGGCACCCGGACGCGGGCGTGCGGGGCTCGGCCGTGCGGGCGTTGGGGCAGCTGGCCGCGCGAGGCGCCGCCCTCTGGCGCCGCCCCTCGTCCCCACAACCGCGGGCGGCCAAAGAGGGGTCGGGCCAAAGAGGAGGGGTCATAAAGAGGGGTCCTCCTCCTCCTCCCGCTCCTCCTCCTCCTCCTCCTCCTCCTCCTCCTCCTCCTCCTCCTCCCTCCTCCTCCTCCCTCCTCCTCCTCCGCCAAAGAGGGGGCCAAAGAGGGGTCGTCCCAAAGGGACAACCGCGGTCGGGACACGGCTGGCCAGGCTTCTGGCTGCGCACAAGCACCCACCCCAGGTAGCCCCGGCCATGCTCAGCAGGCCCCCCGAGCAGTCCCAGCTGGCCTCAACGGGCTCCCCGAGCCGCCTCCCGCGGCGCCCCTGGCTCCGTGCCCCAGGTCGCTCCACACTCCTCGGGGGGCCTCTTGAGTGTCGGGCGGGTGGTCAAGGGTCGGAGGTGGATAGACCTCCTACCCTGACACGTCGATAAGCGAATTGGCCGTTTTCGGTTCGCGAGAGGGCGGCGCGGCCGTCAATTTTGCGGGTCCAGGTCCGACGGTTTCGGCCCTAGGCCGTTTTCACTAAAGGGTGGTTTACTAAAGGGAGGCTCGTCCACCGCCGAATGGGGGGGGACCCATTGATTAGGGCACCAACTGGCTCCAAGAGGGTCCCTAGAGGACCCCATCCCCGTTGGGTCACCCCCCGTTGCCACCCGCCCGAGAGTAGAGGCCAGCGGCCGGGACTACTCGGGGAGCTTGTTGAGGTCAGCTTGGACTACCTGGGGGGGGCTGTCTGTGCGCAACCCGACGCCTCACCAATTACAGCCATCGCGCAGCGATACGAAATACAGGCCACGCGTGAGCAAAACGAATCAGATCGAGAGGATGCCGCCAACAGAATTCGCACTCCACGAAGACCTGCACGATTGCAATTGTAGCTGACGACAGACGAATCCGCCCAAATTGACATACATGTGACTTCTCGTTTTGAGACCAAGTCTAGAAGCGCACAACGAAACATGAGCGCACATGCCACCATAACATCACTCCATACAAAATAACAAAATTATGGTTACGCCTGTCTTAGGAACAGGTTTCACCATATTGCGCCAAGCGCTCATGTCCCTTAGCCACCCCGCACATGAAGAAGGTACCGCAGACGATGATTGACGTATGTGAGAAAACATCTTGGCATGGCAAGAAGAAGCAGCAAACACCAGCGTCCGCAAACCCACTCCCGATTCCCACGGAAACAAACACGTATTTCCAGGAGAGGGTAGGAGAAAGACCATTTGTAAAAGGCTCCCCCCTCGAAGCGCCAATGTGGAGCTAACTTGAGCCGAAGCTGGCTTGAACCTAGGCTTCTTGAGCCCTCCCCAGGAGGAGGGGGGGCGGCAGGGATGGAGGGAGGGAAGGAGTGAGTGAGGGAAGGAGGGAGGCAGGAGGAGGATGATGAGAAGGAGGAGGAGGAGGAGGAGGAGGAGGAGGGGGCAAGAGGAGGCGGAAAGACCAGGAGGAGGAGGAGGAGGAGGAGAAAGAGGAGTGGGGGGAGGAGCCCGAGGAGGAGATGAGGGGAATAAGGGCAGGGGGGAAGTGGAAGAGGAGGAGGAGGAGGAGGAGTTCCTCCTCCCGTCTTCCTCCCTCCCTCCCTTGTTCTCGGGACGGTATCATACGGGCTCGATGCACGCTCGTGTGCTTGCCCAGTCTGTAGTGTCTCACGGGTCCATGGCTTTGTTGTACCGAGTGTGGGGCCACGTGCTTCGGGGAGGAAGGGTTGAGTGGGCGGTCCAAGTTGAACGTCCAGTGGCCTTGGCCAGCGGCCCACCCCTCCACGCGGGCCAAGTAGAAGCGCAAGGCCGGCTTGGGGAGACGGAGCTCTGACCCATCGTTCAGTTGTGTTTTGAGGCTTCGCCTTCCCCGATCCCCGTCATCGGCTTTGGGTTTCACAGCGTCTGGTGTTTGGTTGTTTTTTGTTGTTGTCCGAGGGTTTGCGCGTCCCCTTCTCCACCCCCTCCTTATCAGAAGTTCGACAATGTGTGACTGCCGCACGGGCGGTCCTCGTCTGTGGAGGCGGCGCTTGCTGCAGTAAAGATCAGCGGCGGGCGAGGGGGGGAGTGAGAAGGTGAAGGCCTTCTCAGACGGCGGCGGGACGTTCAGATGTCATCGCGCCTTCAGAGAAATGTTTTCGCACCCTCGGGGAAGGCTTCGACAACTGTTGAGAAGGCCGGAGGACTTCCGACCCTTTGAGAAGGTTCGGCCTTTCTGAATTTCCCCCCGGGCTCGCCGCCGAGGAATGGAAGGCCTGCAATGGGACCGTCAAACTTTGATCCTGGACGAAAACCTACCCTGGGGGAAGTGGTCGCGAATAAGGGGGACCCGCCATGTCCTACGCTGCGTCTGCGTCGTCGGTACAGGCGTGGGTCGCCATCTCGAATCGAGGATCGGCGTGCGTTCACGTGTTCATTCTTTTGGGGGCTCTGGGAGGCTTCTCGTCGCCACGGCTGGATTCCCCCCAACGAAGTACTGGTTAAGAATTGACCGTTGAAGGGGTCTGGGAGTCGATGATTCAGGGCTGGAGGAGACGGGTCCTGCAGTTTTGTCGCTGTTTTTGTCATACAAAGAGGCAGGCATAAACATACGCTTTCGGGGTCCCGCACGGATTTGTTGGATCAGCGCTGAGCCCCCTTGGCGGCACCTCCGCTGGCGTCACCGCGCACTGCGGTAGCGGAGGGGGTCAAGGAGAGCGTTTGTGTCATCCCCTTGCGATCACGGGCGTGACCGCGGGGAGTGGAGGGGGTTGGTCAGTCACGTCACGACTCGCGCCGTCGCCGTCTGGGAATGCTTAGGTAGAGGCTGACCCCCAGACGGCGCCGGCGCGAATCGCAACGTGACCAGAGGGCGGGGAGAGGAGGGGCGGGGCTGGTCACAGGCGTTACAGTCAGCCCGCATGGTAAGGATGGGCAACGTTCCCAGGAGTACCCTTGCATCCTTGCCCCTTCGGCTCAGCATTATTAGCGACTTTCTCTGACCAACCTCGTTCGTAAAACGTTAACATGGCCCTGCAATGCCGTTGCAACATTATACCTCGCATCCTTATGCTGCGGGCAGGCTGTATCAAAAACTACAACAAAGATCGAGCTCCAGCGCCGACCTCGGACATCCGCGCGGCCCTCCGAAGGTTGCTGCTCGCACCGATCTTGTTGTTGCGCCTCGGCCTCTGCCCCACCGATCAGGGTGGGCCGAGGGTTCTGGCAGCCCTCGATCGGCAGCTCGTGACTTGATGCTAGCATCTTCCTCCGCGGCCACGGCGCGCCCTGCCTCCACGTTCGCTTCCGTCGGGTGTTGCCAGAAGTGAACCTGGCCCAAGGTGGTTCCAGGATCTCCAGGAAGGCCCCCCACTGCCTCTGGAGCATCCCTCACGAGGCCCAGAGGGCCCCAGAGCCTCCAACACAGAACGACAAATGGGCGGGATTTCGGCCAGGTGCACTTTGAGCAACCCCCGAGTCGTCTGCCCGCGGCCGAGCCCCCTCTCCGGAGCGTCCGCGTCGGCCTCCTGCGTGCAGGCGAGCCGGGGGCGCTGACCCAGGCCATGCTCTGCTTGGAGGACGACAGCGGGGACGTCAGGATCTCGCAGCCGAGGAGGAGGATGCGGGAGGGCGGGAGCGAGGTCGAACCCTCCCCCCTGCGAGTCAGAGGTCTTCCCTGGTTTGTCTGCCCTTCTGTGCCTTTGAGAGGCTTGCTTCATGTCGCACAGGAAGGATCCTCCACAGAACGGGCCCAAGAGGCGATATTTTTGTTGGAGGAGGCGTGGAGGGAGGGAGGGAGGGGGAGCGAGAGTACGCGGAAGAGGTGGATGATGACGCAAGAGGAAGCGGAGGAGGACGACGACAGCATGGACGTCAAGCCATCGCCATGGGTCATAAGGATGGGGAAAAGAGAAAGGGTAGGAGGAGGAGGCGGAAGAGGAAGGAAACCGCGTACGAAGGAGGACGAGGGAGTATGAGTTGAGTATCCTTGTGGTCAGAGTCGGGCCCATGTTAAAGAATGCCGAGAAAATCATGGACTTGGGAGGTTGACACGGGGACCCACACAACTCTAGGACGATGTTTCTCTCCTGAACGACTGTATTGTGAAGGCCTTGCGGCCGGTGCCGCCGACCTTGAAGACGACGACCTTGAAGACGACGACGACGACGCGACGACAGCGACGACGACGACGACGACGAGGAAACCACCGTCTTTTCCGTATGGTTGCAGACTGAAGGCGTGTCGCGCAGTGAGTTCGCAGGGGGCCACAGTGCGCTGCGTCCGAGTGCGCTGCGCCGTTGCGTCGACAGCATGTCTTGCCGTTGCGGCTTCCGGTACGCGCTCGTCGAGCGGCCGCGTCTTGTGCATCCATGGCATTTGATTACACGACGACGACGACGACGACGTCGTTCGGCTGCGGGGCTCTTGGGTCCGCTGCCCAAGCGAGGCGTGGTCGGGCCGCACGCGCTCTGCCATCGAGCCGCATTCTGGTGAGCCAGGCGTGGTGGTGGACAGGTCCGTCCTCGGCCCCCGGGGCCATCTCTCCACCCCCTCTGTGGTTGCGCATGTTTGTCGTTTGGCCGTTCTGGGGCGGCGTTGTCTTCACCGTGCGCCCGAAGCTCAGGTGAGCAACCTGCCGTACTAGTAGTCTGAACCCCCTTCATGCTTGCACCGCTCGAGGAAAAAGGCAAGTCGCGCGCAAAGCGCTCCGTCGCACGCTGAATTGTCAGCGGGCGGCCTTCGATTCGTCAATCGTCGCTGCTGGGTAGTTCAATTTGTAGGGAGGCTTTGTGGTGAGAGCTTGGAGCGTTGAAGGTGGTTCGCATTTGTCTTGCGTTGCGCAGTCGTTTGATGGCCACGCGCCCGCTCGCGAGACAGGGGGCCGTTGGTCTGAGCCTGCAATCAATTACGAACAACAGGTTGCTGTTTCCTGGTGGGCGTTTCTTTACGGCCCGCTTCTGCGACGGCAGTGTTCGTTGCGTGTTGCCACCGCGCTTGTCCAGTGCAGCGCCTCTTGCCTTCTTCGCACCGGCGTCTTGCTGCTGGTGCACCTCAGAGGGGGGGGGGCGCCGCCGCCCATCGGTTCGAACTTCCCCTCCCTGTAATTCTTGGGGGGGTGGGGTGGTTCGAACCTCCCCCCTCCTTGGACGGGGCGGGGGCCGGTTCGACCCCCCCCCCCCTTTGGGTCCCTGGGGGTAGGGGTGGGCGGTTCGGGGGGCCAGTGTCAATGGCCCCCCCTCCCCCCAGTTCTCCAGGGGGAGGGGGGCTGGTTCCAACGTGTCAAAATGTTTGCCAGGCGAGCGTCCAGGCAACGCGTTTTCTGTCTCTCTATCTCTCTGTTCCTCCATATGTCTCGCTCTCTCTCTCTCTCTCGTTTTTCTCTCTCTCTCTCTCTCTCTCTTTTCCCCTTTCTCATAACACATATATATATATATATATATATATATATATATATATATAGATATATCACGTATACATACTTATATATGTACATATAACTATGCCATGTATGACGGAGTTGCGCGTGGGAGTCGCGTTTGGGATCAGGGTTTGGATCGGTGTCAAAGTTGGGCCCTCTTCCAGTTTTGAGTCCCTGCATGTACCCGAAGTGTGAGAGGACGAAGAGGAGCAGTTAAGGGGGGAAAGGGAGGCGAGTCCCAGTCACCCACCAGTTGAGCTGCAGAGCATATCCGCACATGTGTTCGGCATCGTGATACGGGGCAAGATGGGAGCGGAACTGAAAAAATGGGGGGAGGGCCAAAGGGGGGGCACAAGTGTGGCGAATCATGTTTCGTTCGGCACATATCGAACCCCGGCCCATCCCATCATCGTGCCTGGGCCGTCGACAAGAAGCCTTTTAGGTGCATCTTGGGATCTCTCGGGGGCCTTGGGGGGGAGCGTCATAGGGGGTGTCTTGGGGTTGCTTGGAGGCTTCTTGCCAGTCTCTGAGGCCATCTTGGTCGAGATCTCCAGATTTCAGTTGGTTGTCCCCCTCTTCGGGGCCGTCTCAGGAACCCCACGGACCTCTCTTTGGGGTTCGGGGGTGCCTTGGAACGATCTTTGGGGCCTCTCGGACCGCCTTGGACGCTCGCAACACCGAGTACTACGGACGTGAACGGTTTGGCGTCGTGGGCCCAAGAAACTCCAAGAGAACCCGACTCTGGGTGGGATATTTATCGAAGGGTGGGCGAATAACCTTCCGACAGCGTTTGCCCATCCCCCCCCTCTCCTCCTTTTCCTCCTCCTCCATCTCCTCATCCCCCTCCCTTCCTCCTTTTCCTCCTTTTTCTCCCCCCTCCATCACCCGCCCCGACAGCACGTGCCCAATCCTCCCAGAGGATCCAACGGGGGGGCGATTATTGCACCATCCAAAGTAGACCCCAGGACGCCCGCTGGGCCATTCCAGGACCCGTGGACGGCGCGGGTTCCCAGCTTTCGAACCAGTCTCCTCAGGCCTCACTTGGGCCCGAGAGACCCTGAAGAGAACCCTGGGCCCCAGGAGGACCCTTGGGCCATTCTAGGATACGTGGGCGGGACGGGTTCCAACTTTCCAACCACGCTCCTCAGGCTTCAAACAAAGTCATCGGTGGTTCAATTATAGGGTGCTGAGGAATGGGGACCTGAGGACAGGAAGGGATCAAGGTCGGATTTACGTCATTGAGGCACCTCGTCGTTACGACCCCATTCCTCAGGACCCCATATTTGAATCACCGAAGTCAGACGAGAAGCCTTGGGAACGCGCGGGGACGCCCAGACCCACACCCATACCCCTGGGCGCTGAGGGCACGGTTGGCACGAGGATCAATATAAAGCAGCGAACAAAAAGCTAGCCGTGGAGTGTGTGAGATATACGCGGCAAATCGTGCGTTATTGTGCTGGGCATGATCGCAGCATGGCGAGCGTGCCATCGCTCTTTGACCCAATTTTTTCAGGGCCCTTGAGTCAGCGCAGCAGCGGTGCGGAAACCATCCCGGATGTGCCTTCTTATTTCCCATTCTTCTTGCCATCAAAGATTTCGGGGGCTTTGGTAAGTTCGCATTGGTAGTGGAGCTTGGTGAGCCCGGCTCTTGCTTCGACCTTCCATATCTTAGCGACCTCTCTTCGGATTAGGTCGCCAACTCCATGTGCAGCTTCGATGTTGCAGCAGGTCTCAGCGGAGATCTCCAAATCAGATTCTCGGCAGCCCACGCGCGGGACTTCGCAGTCGACTTTACAGACCGGGGCAGTTTCGATTTCGTAGAGCACGTGTCGGACGCTAACCCCTCGAGGTTTCAGCTCAGCAGAATGCCCAAGCCGATGGCGGACATGCCGCCCGAGCGATGAGTTCCACAGTTCGACGGCGCACTCAGCCAATGCAAATAATACGAGAAGCGGGCGACGATCTTCATCGCAAAGCTCACGCTAGAGAAGAAGGAGAGCGAAGCAGCTCTCATGCTCGGCGCAGGTTTCACAGGCGAAGCTTGGAACGAAGTGGAGGATCTCTCAACGGACGAGCTCGTCGAGCCCAAAACGGCGAAGCAGGTCGTTGCCAGATTGCAGAATCGTTTCAAGATGGGCGATGCGACGGTACTCGCAGACGACTTCGAGAAGTGTTTCTTCAAGCTCAAACGGCGCGGGGGCGAGGCGCTGTTCGCCTATATCTCGAAAGTGCGCGCTGCTGAGCGCGAGCTCAGGACGCGAGACAGCGAGCTGCGGGCGAGGGTCCGGGGCTGGCTCGCGCCGCGACGAGGAGGATTCAGCGCGGACCAGAAGGCGGCCATGTCGGTAGTTGGTAAGGGTATTACACAGGAGATGGTTATCGAGGCGTTGGACACAACGTTCGGGCAGGAGAGTATCATGCACGAGCCGAATCACTCACGGAAGCAGCATTTCGTCGATGAGGGCACAGCAAAGCACTACGATGAGGAGTTCTACACTGGCGAGCTGGAGGACGAGCCAGACGACTACGACCAAACGCACTGGGCGGAGGAGCACGAGACCTGGTACGACTGCGACGAGAGCTATGACCAGCGCGTCCCCTACGCAGCTCAAGAGCTCGACCCAGGCGAGTGCGACGATGTCTACGCGGCCTACGCGGACGCCCGGAAGCGGTTCAACGACCTGAAGCTAGCGCGCGGTTTCTACCCGGCAGTGGCGATGGCAGGCGGAAGTCCAGGTTTGACCGCAGCCTCAGCAGGGGGGCCGCGCCGACGAGGCCGTTCAAGCAGCGCGGGCACCGAAGGGCGCGGCATGTCCACAGGAGGAAAGGGCAGCCCAAAAGGATCATCACCTCCAGGCGCGCGCAGCAGACCACAACCCGCGGCCGCGGACCCAATGGGAAGGGTAAGGGCAACTTACGAGACCAGTCCCAACATTAGCAGCATCGGCCAACTGCCAAACACACGGCAAGCCCGGCCACTGGGCCAGGGGCTGCACCGAGTCACCCAACAGGATGCGGGCTCACAGCGCGATGGTCATAGCAAGGCCAACACCAGCGCAATGCCAGCCAGCAACGGAGTCATGGACTGTGGAGCGACGACGCCCATGTCCAGCTCAGAGACGGTCAAGGACTATGTGAGTGGTTTCTAGCAGAATGGTTTTCCCATCGAGGACCTCAGG